GTACGGTATTCCAGTGTTACACAGTGACAAACCTGCCCCACCAGTACTGTATCCCATTGTTACACAGTGACAAACCTGCCCCACCAGTACTGTATTTCAGTGTTACACAGTGAAGGACCTGTTGCCACCAGTACAGTACCCCAGTGTTATACAGTGTCAGACCTGTCCCCACCAGTAATGTGCTCCGGTGTTATTCAGAGACCTGTACCCACAATTAAAATGCTGCACTGTTATACATAGGTCTCTCCACCAGTACTGTACCCCTGTGTTATCCAGTGATAGACCTGTCCGCACGAGTACTGTACCACAGTGGAATACATTGACAGACCTTTTCCCGCCAGTATTGTTTCCCATTGTTATACAAAGACAAACCTATCACCACCTGTACTGTACCCAATGTTATACAGTAGCAGACCTGTCCTCAACAGTCCTGTACCCCCGTGTTATATAGTGACAGACCTCTGTGTTATGCACCTGTCCCCACCAGCACTTACCGCAGTGGTATACAGTGACACAGATGTCCTTACCAGTATTGTATACCAGTGTTATACAGTTACAGACCTGTCCTCACCAGTACCGTTCCCCACTGTTATAAAGCAACAGAGCTGTCTCCACCAGTATTGTGCCCCAGTACATAGAATGTAGAACATAGAACAGTACAGCACAGTACAGGCCCTTCGGCCCACAATGTTGTGCCGACCTATTATCCTACTCCAGGATCAAACAGACACACTCACACACATACTCTCACAGACACTCACACACACATTCTCACACACAAACACAGGCACTCTCACACACAAACACAGACACTCTCACTCTCTCTCTCTCTCACACACATACACTCACACACACACGCACTCTCACACATATACACACACTCTCTGACATATACACATACACACACATGCTCACACATACACACACACACTGTCACACACTCATGCACACACGCACAAACACATACGCACACCCATACACAAACACACTCTCACACATACACACACACTCACACATACACACACTCTCACGTATATACACACACACTTACACACACACACACTCTCACATACACATATACATACACACCGACACAATCTCTCTCACACACACTCACACATACACACACTCACACACACACTCACACACACACACATATAAATACACTCTGACACAGTCTCTCTCTCTCACACAAACACACACACACACGCACACTCTCACACACTCTCACACATACACACCTATACACACATACACTATGTCACGCACACACTCTCACACAAACACACACACACATACACTATGTCACGCACACACTCTCACACAAACACACACACACATACAAACACACACACACACAAGCACAGACACACGGGCACTCACACACACATACACACACATTATCACCCATACACGCACACACAATCTGTCTCTCACACACATACAGGCGCACACACACACAC